CCCCCAAAAAAAAAACCCCCCAAACCAACGCTCCCAACCGCAGCGTTGACCCCAAACTCGTGCGCCGCGTCTTCTTTGTCCTCGAAAACGTTGTGTGGCTGCGAGACAGGAAGAAAAAAAAAGTCATTGTGAGAACAGAGGAGGGGGGGGGGGGGGGGGGGAAGAAAAAAAATGACGGTGATGCCCCCGTGCATGGGATTGAACTTGTTTTCTTAAGCAGGAATCGAAGGACTTGACTTTGTATTTGCGCTCTGCAGGGAGAAGGTGCGGTGTCCTTTAGGAAAAGCAGCTCCTCGGTGCCATTCGTTTCATTTAAAAGGAACGAACAGAAAGAGAACGTGAGGGATTGTTGTGGCAAAAAGAAAAAAAAAAAAAGAAAAAGGGAGAAAAAAACCCCACAAAGATGAATTGAAGCCGGAAAATAAAAGAGGAGCCGAACTGAGGGCCGAAAGAAAACCCATCCATGGCGGTTCGGTGCCGAAACCTCGCAGCAAAACGTGGGTTTAGAGGCGAAGGTCTCCACGAATCCCGCTCCTCTCGGAGCAGATTGCAGCGCCATGAATATGGATGATGAGATTTCGGAGATGTTCGCAGGTATTTAAAACCCCGACAGAAGAAAAACCCGCACCGCAATGACCGCAAAGAGGCTTTTAAGGGGGGAATTCTAATAAAATGGTCAAATAAAATCATAATGTAGAACAGCTTGCGATGTCTTTATTTGCCACAGAATTTCACAGAGGATTCCGGGGATTCACTTTTACATACACAAAGAATTATCTTTTTTTTTTTTAATTATTATTATTTTTTTTTCCGGGATTTTTTTTTTCCTGTTGTTTTCTCTCGTCGTTCTTCGTCTCCCATTTCCAGACAAAGAAAAAAAAAAAAAAGGAATAAGAAATAAAAAGGAAGGAAAAGAAAAGGGGAAGAAGAAGAAGAAGAAGAAGAAAAAAAAGCTACGAATTTTATTTACAAACCATTTCGGTTATCGCAAACGTTTTTTTCTTTTGGTTTCAAAACCCCCCCCTTCTCCCCCCACAACACCTCCCACTCAACACGAACCTCACGGAATACATGTATATATATACACACAGGCTCTGTCCCGTGTATATATGCATATATATATTCTATACATACAAAGGGTGCTTTGGGGGGGTGGGGGGGGGAGTGAGAATCTTCGTTCTGCTCGCAGGCAGGGATTTAAATTAGGGTTCGGCTTTTGGCCATGGGGAGGAGGAAGGGCACGGAGGAGCGGGGGGTGCGATGTGCAAACGGGGACACACGCGTTGTGTGTTTCACACTCACACTCAAACTCACGCTCACACTCACCCCCAGCCGTAGGGATGTGATCCTAAAGGGAAGATTTTGGCCGCTCTTGGGATAACACAGCCGCGTTGTGAAGTCACAACAACACCCGCCCAGCGCTGCGATGCATTCAGAAGGACGGGGGGTTGGGGGGGGGTGGGTGGGGGGGGGGCGGCCAATCATCATCGCCATCAGAATAACAATAATAATAATAATAATAATAATTAACAAAAAATCAAGGAAGAAGAAGAAGAAGAAGGGGGAGGAGGGAAGAGGGGTGGGAAGGGAGGAATCCCATCTCGTTCAGGCAAAAAAAAAAGAGGCCAAAAAAAAAGAAAAAAAAAAAAAGTTAAATAAAATGTTCGTGGAATTCGAGTCCTTGAGCGGTTTGGTAAATGAAAGAAGGTTTCGCTCCTTTTGTTACTCTGAACTGTCCCAGACATAGAAATGTAAGTAACGAAAAGGCTCAAACTTGGAGGTTGCTTTGTCGGCTTGAAAGGGCAAAGCCACGCGTGCGGCTGTTCCTTCCCGAAACGCTTCGCCAGCAGAGGGGATTACAAAGATGTTCACAATAAGGGATTTCCAGAGAAATACTGCAGGCGGTCTCTGCTTAATTTTTTTTCTTTCATCCTTCTGTTCTGAAACCAGATTTTAACCTGTCGGTCAGTGAGATTCAGCATCCGAGACAACTGGAGCCTCTTTTCTTTGTTTATATAGACATTGAAGAAGAATTCTCTCTCCAGCTCTCTGATCTGGAATTTCGAATAGGGGCACCTCTTCTTCCTCGTTCGGGGAGCACCTTAAAAGAACCAGAAGGCAGCGTAAACATCCCGAGGAAAAGCAACACACGGCCTCACCTTCGAGCTGCCCACATAGATGGGGGCCGGGGGGAAAGGGGGGGGGTTAACCAAGGGGAGATCTCAGCTCGGAGGTGAGGTGATAAGGGGTCTTCGCGATCGCTTTTGCCACTGCACGGGCTTGAAGCCCAGAAAGGGACCCCAGTGCAGCTGCATTTTGAGTACGGAGGGATTATTTTGACAAAGAGCAGCCCGGGATTGAAGGCAGCGGTGCAGGAGCAGCTGTGCAGGGAAAGCGAGGAAAAAAAGAGAGCGCACGCTCGGCTGCAAATCTGTTATCTGTATAGAAACAGCATGAGAGAGGTCGGAATTATAGGAACTAGATATGATGTTCCGCATAAGTTTCTGATTAACTCCAGTCCTCGCCACACACGCAAAAAGGAATCAAAGTCAAAGAGAACTTCGCATCTGAGCCGCAAACGGGGACTTTCTGCTGCTCACGAAAGCAAAGAGGGAAACAAAACAAACCTTCCCTGTGCCAAAAAAAAAAAAAGAAAGAAAGAAAAAGAAAGAGAGCCCCACGCTCAACCCTGGCTTGCAAAGTTGCCTGGATGGAGCGCTTTAAAAGCTGCCTGGAAATGAGGGTGAATGCAGGGAGAAGAGCCGAGCAAAGCATCGCACGTCGGTCGGACAAAGCCGGGCGCTGCTCCGGCCTTGCGGGGGGAAAAAAGCTTTAAACAGAAAGTCCGAAGCAAACGCTCCGCGGATTCCGCAGCTTTCCAACAACAAACCCCCCCCCCCCCCCCCCCCCCCCCCCCCCCCCCCCCCCCCCCCCACCCCCTCCCTCAGCACCACACCCCCACCGAGAGAAAAGACTCACCATACAGTTTTAATTTATATTAAAAAAAGAGATGAGGATAACGCATAGATATTAAAAAAAAAAAACAAAAAACAAAACCAACAAGAAAAAAAAGCCACGCACCGCACGCATCTCAGCGCCTACAAGAGAGCGCAGGCAGCGGAGCAATGTTCTGCCCAATTGCCTTTTACCCTCCGCAACCCGGGACCAAATCCTTTTAAAATGCTCATGTAAGTTCATGATCAAAGTTAATATTTGTCACGACGGCGTGCTTTTAAAATTTCACAGACTCGGAGATGCTGTGTCTGCTGCCTAACATCTCCTTTTTTTTTTTTTTTTTTTTTTTTCCCTCTCTCTCTCTTTTTTTTTTTTTTTGTTCCAAAGAGCTTTTCCCATCGTAAAAATTCTTCTCGTTGGAAGAAAGAGCTTTGTAGGTTATAATAAAATCCTTTGAATGCTTATAAAACTCCACATAAAATTTGACCGACAAAACACACGGGCTAGTCCCTTAACCTTTCCGTTTACTGCTCTACCTACTCGAATTGCTGCTTTTGCTTCCTTCCTTGTTGACAGAGGAGGACGAGGCTGAAGAGCCGGGAGTTGTGTTCTCCTCTTCGTCTTCCGGGTCCATCCCCGTTTCTCCGCGGGATGACAGCGCGTGGCTTTGGGGCTCAGTCTCCCCTTTGCCCTCTCCTTTCTGCCCGCAGCTTTCGGTCGGGTTTTCCGCCCCGCAATACGCGTTTTCGAAGAATCGGTCGAAACCTTGGGGCAGGACCGTGTTTTTGTTCATGCCGCCGTAGAATCCCGTCGGTGCCGGGTGGTTGGAGCTGGGGTGGTGGTGGCTGTAAGCGCTCTCGTTTTTCATTAGCATTTCGGTCATGGTGGAAGGCGGGATGCACTCTCTATGCATCAGATCTTCTGCGGAATAACACGACGCGTAATTGCTTCTATGGTGCCATTTACTGGAGGGGTCTAGACCATAGGAGACCTCTCGCACGGGCTGCGAGAGGTTGGTGGAGTACGGGTAGGAGATTTGGCGAGAGGGGGCCTGTGGCAGGAAAGATGACACAGTTGAAAATTCGGGGACGTAATAGGTACAGCTGGGGAGGTAGAGGTTGGAAGCGCAACCCGCCCGCTCTCCAAACTCAGCGCTCCTCTCTTTACGCGACTGGGAGCAGAAGTTGCCCAGATTCACTGAGTTAAACATCTTTCTCCTTTTCTCGCTCCTATAGATAGATGTTTTGGATCCGATGTGCGGAGGGGAAAAAATTTGGGAAGGCGAGATGACGCGCGATCCGTCTTAGTCGCTCCGGAGGAACACGTGATCCAAAGTAGATATTGTCATATATCAGTTTGGAGCACTTAGATGCGTAGGAGTGGTTCACTTAGGTAAGATCTCAGAGGTTCAAACGATTGGTTTTCAAACACCGCAGAAACATTATGAAAATCAATGGCAGATTTGTATGCATTTTCCCGAAGGCACACCCCTCGTGGGCGCTCACAGCAGAACTATGAGGGGCGGCCGTGAAGTTGCCTTTCTTTTTTTTTTTTTTTTTTTTTTTTTTTTTTCCTCCCTCCTTCCTCCTCTCCTTCCCATTCGGATTCTGCTTTCTGCTTTCAGCGGGATTTAGAGATGGGGTGGGGGCGATTGGGGGCTGCGGAGGGGAGGGGGGAGAGGGAGGGTCTTAAGGAGCTCGGACCGGGTTGGGTTGTGTGGTTG